AATAAAATAGCTAAAAATAAAAAAACGGATATATTTTTTGCAGATTTTTTGTTACAAAATTATTTCATACAACTACTCTTTACAGTGACATGGCTTTTTACAATGCAGGACACCTGAAATTATTTATTAATCTACCAAATGGTCCAAAAGTGAATAGACTAGATGCGAATAGAAATAATCTTGATTTACGTCATTGAATATTCAAAATTCAGTTAAAGTGATGTCATATTTGAAATCTACATGTAAAAGTACATCTAGAAAAATGGTTTCGAAAATTGTTTATCAACTTTGAACATTTAATTTTTTGGTAAAATGTGACTTCTAGTTCGGGTTGATTCCTCATAGGCCCCATGTTACAAAATCACAAAAAGTGAAATATCTTTTTTTTTGTATGGGACAGATAACATTTTCTTTTACTGGACATTTTTAATTTGCATAACTATTAGATACATAAAGGTTATATAAAAATTGAACCACTAAAACAGATGTTATTAATGTTAAAGGGAACTTTCTACTATACCCGCCATGTTATCTGACCCGAACGAGCCACCTAGTGGCGAAACTGGTAACTACCTACTCGCATCTGCAAAAATAACTTAAAATGGGAACCTTATCAACAGCATCCTCCTTAGCAGGTATCTAGAATCCGTACCTCCTTCTTCCCCCTGCTATAACCAATTTGGAAGCGCCCGATTAAACTGAATCACGTGATCTAATTATGCGCAATGACTTATACATGATTTCTGTCGCAGTGTTGCGACAGCCAATCAGATTGCGAGTTCTGAATCGGGGAAATGCTAACTGCTTATCGCAGGGGGTAAAAAGAAAGAATATATTCTGGATTTTGAAGCCCTGTGATCGGGGGATGATCAACAGAGGTTTTAAAACAAATGGTCTAAAAGTGGATTTCGCAAGACAGATGGACAAATCAATGTTAACTATAAAATGGCTTTTGAAATAAGGTGAATTTATCAGTAGAAAAAGCAAAGAAATTAATTTTTTAAGTGCGTCATTTTTTTACAAGAGTAAACTTCCCGGGAGTTTAAAGATTGTATGGAAAGCCCCGCCTACTCGATCAGCAGGATTGGCACAGAAAATCAGAGCAACTAAACACAAACAGGTTTTTAGATGCGATGTATATCAGAATGGAGTGATATGGCTTTTTTTCAATGCAGGACACCTGAAATTATTTATAAAGCTGCCAAATGGTCCGAAAGTGAATTTTGCGAGACAAAAATAGCGGCCATTTTGAAAATAGCTAAGCTTTTGAACCAGGAGTCATAGGGGGGTTTTCTATATTGATCTTCGAACAAAAATATCTTAACACGGGAATCCTTCAGACAGAGGTTTTAAAACGGGCCAATTGTTGACAGACAGACAGACAGACGGATGGACAAGTGAGTGATTGCAATAGCAGTGAATTGAGTCTATGTTGTAAATCTTCAATAAAATCTTATTAACAAACATTAAAACAATATTAGTTATTAACATAAGGCACAGACGTGAACAATATCGTACCTAAAACACAGCATTGTGGTCTTGTTGACCAAGAAAGCAAGATGGCCGCAGAAAAGTTAATCAGCTCTAGAACTTATCACTGTGTAACATATGTAAAAATTTGAACGGTTTGGCTGGAAACCTGTAGACAAGTTTTGAAAGTGAAGATTTTAGGACAGAAAATCCAAAATGGCCACCTTAAAATTTACCCAGAATGCCCAAAAACCAATCAGTTCTTGACGTTGATATGTAGAAACATCCCTGAAAATTTCAGATGAATCCCTCAAATGGTTTGGCTGAAAACCTGTAGACAAGTCTTGAAAGTGAAGATTTTAGGACAGAAAATCCAAAATGGCCACCTTAAAATTTAACCAGAATGCCCTAAAACTAATCAGTTCTTGACGTTGATATGTAGAAACATCCCTGAAAATTTCAGATGAATCCCTGAAATGGTTTGGCTGGAAACCTGTAGACAAGTCTTGAAAGTGAAGATTTTAGGACGGAAAATCCAAAATGGCCACCTTAAGATTTACCCAGAATGCCCAAAAACCAATCAGTTCTTAACGTTGATATGTAGAAACATCCCTGAAAATTTCAGATGAATCCCTCAAATGGTTTGGCTGAAAATCTGTAGACAAGTCTTGAAAGTGAAGATTTTAGGACAGAAAATCCAAAATGGCCACCTTAAAATTTACCCAGAATGCCCAAAAACTAATCAGTTCTTGACGTTGATATGTAGAAACATCCCTGAAAATTTCAGATGAATCCCTGAAATGGTTTGGCTGGAAACCTGTAGACAAGTCTTGAAAGTGAAGATTTTAGGACGGAAAATCCAAAATGGCCACCTTAAGATTTACCCAGAATGCCCAAAAACTAATCAGTTCTTAACGTTGATATGTAGAAACATCCCTGAAAATTTCAGATGAATCCCTCAAATGGTTTGGCTGGAAACCTGTAGACAAGCTGAAAAGTGAGACGCCGCCCGCCGCCCGCCCGCCAAGCTGACTACAATATCGTACCTTTTGTTAGGTACGATAAAAATTATTGAACTATTTGCACAAAAGAAGCTTTGTATGTATTCAGTTGACTGACATGTTTCCAAAGTTCACATAAGATTACACGACCTGTACTGCACCATTCAAAGGTAGACTGTAAATCTAGTAAATCTAGTAAAACTAGTAAATCTAGTAAATCTAGTAAAATCTTGTAAAATCTTGTAAAAACTTGATTATTCAATGTCTAAGATATAAAGTGCAACTGTTGAAAAAGCACTGAAAATGCCTTTGTATGAACGAAATGAACATGTAAAAAAATTCTACCTTTTATTTCATTATATTTAGTTACAAAACAACTATATGTTAGGATAACAAAATGGTTATCAAATGGTACACCCATTTTATCATCATACACTACCCACCCAAGAAGGTTTGCGTGAGACCTCCCACCAAGCGGGAGGGTAAGAAATTTGCTCCTGTAGATAGAAATTTAACAGAGAATTTCATCCTGGGAATTTCTACATGTCTGGTACAGTTTCAGGGGTGAAACTGCTGAAAATATCACTAAAGAAAGATGTCGATTTCGGGAGAAGATTCCCGGGAATTTAGGATGACAGTGATTGTGAATATTGGGAGAAAGTAGATATGTTCGGGGGTTTTCTTTGTAGCTAATGAAAATAGATGTCAGCCCAATACTAATTGGTGGTTTCCTTAAATTCATAGTAGGTTAATTGGGTTAATTATTGATTGGAAAAATGATAGCCCTGGGACCCATGTTTTCAGCGTCAATGAATTGGATAATGTTAAAATATATAAAAATAACTAGTGTACATATTTTATGGTATGCATATTTAGAGATATCAACGTTTTTATGATGAAATTAGATCACCAATAGTGACAAATAAATCAATAAATTACTTGATTTATGCAGGTGTTTAATGTATAGAAGAATAGTATAACATGAAACAGATCCCTGAATCACACCATGAGTTAATAATGAAGTATGGTTGAATGAGACACTGTGTTGGTGTTCTTACTGTCTTAGCTATTAAACCATGTTGATGTCATAGTATGTAAGTTTATTATTAAACAAAATAGTATGGTCAATTGAGTCAAAGGCTTTCAAAAAATTGCTTTTAGATAATTAAATGGACACCTTCATTTGCATATATAATTTTTTCCCCAAGGTTGCCATTTGTCCAACCCAGCTAAATAACTTCATAAAACCCTTATGAGAGTGATTCCACAATAAAACATCATGTTTTTACAAATTCAAAGGTTCATGAAAATTGACTACATAGGCAAAGGAAGGAGTGCATTTATTGGGAAATACCCCTATGGTCAAAATGAATAATTGTTAGGTATAACATGAAGAATAGAATGTCATAACTCTTTGGAAAATATTAAAGTGCCCAGGCACACATAGGCTGAGATAGGGGCCATTTAGTTCAGTAAGGTTGTATCGACTTACATGGGGCTGTGCACCATTGACTTAACACGAGGATATCAGCAGATCCCAATAGAGGCCATTGGTTTCCATTGATTATCACAAAAATACCCAAAATACACTATGACCTGAATCTATTGCAAACTGAATAATTTCAAAATATGACACAAATGGTTTATCTCGTCAAATGTGCAAATATGAAGTTTGCAGGCGATTCAACTTCATACTTACAATTAAAAGTTTGTTCATTTTTTCATCATCTTTTCCCTTCAAAATGGCCATAGAAAAATGCTCCAAAAACAACTTTTACACTTATCAAAAATCATACAACTTTGTAAAACAAAAGAATATACTATTATAATTCATTATGTAGTAACATACTTGGATAAAGTGTCGGGATAAGTAGGATGAAAATGGATTTTGACAGACACAAATATACTTCCTGGTTTGGAATCTATGCCTCTACACTTCATGATTGAATTATGACCCTAATAAGTGGCCTATACATCAATACAGTGTTGAATATAGGTCAACAAGATACTAGTGTGCATATAAATGTAATAATTAAAGCAGAATACTAATTTTGAAAAATCAGATGAATTATTTTTTTCTCATGGGGAGATCCCAATGGAATATGCATATGGTCCTTTTTCTCGTGTCAACAGACATTCATCAAAATTACCTGAACTGCTTTTCTAGATGTCTCAACCTCGTAAGAAGATGAGGTTAGGATTAAGTTTGGGAAAGACAAAGAGGAAGCTATCTTTTACTATTGAAAGTGATGAGTAGTCTCATGCAAGTCTATATTCCTTTACAAGTTGACTTCTCTCATATATGGGCGCTCTTCGTAATGGGTTACAATGGGAATTTCAATTTCAAAAGTGCCCTGGGCGCTTATTATGGCGAATATGGTAGATATAATTTTTACAGTTGTGTTATCATAGCAATTTTCAAAAGTTGATGAGAAATTAATGTATAGTTGTCCATAAACTGATTTAATAAGGTCAGCAGATGGATAAGTGAAACTGAAAATATTTTAAACAATTTTAAAAAGGACTTACCAAAAATATTGTGTTAAAAATAAATAGCACATATTTGAGAAACAGTACACTACAACATCCTTCATCCTTGGCATTAATCCGCTGCTTATCGGAACGTCTTGTACTCATTTTCTTTTATTAACTTTACTGCAACATTCAGTCTGTAACATATTAAAATTTAAAAAATTGTAAAATTTCTATAATAATGAAGCTTTGTATTCCCTGGCTATTATTGGTACTTTCCATAAGCCTTCACGAGAACTTTTCCCAGTCTGATGACTCTGAAAGTGAAGAATACATGAGTAAATGTATTAATACAATAATAATTGGGAGGAGGGAAGACTTACTCCAACTATTCCATTAGACAAAGTGAGCAAATATGCAGCCATCATTGCCTGCCATGATCCCATTACAGTTTCATAGTGGATGAATTGCTCATATTGGCTATCAGTTATAGATTCTGATTCATTCACAGTGTCAATCTCGCCATCTTCATATGTTTCATCATCAACAGTTGAAATTTCATTGTTTAAAGTGAACTCACTGTTACTTGTCCATTCAAAGCCTGATTCTTCTAAGTTATTACTGCCACTTGCAGTCTCAGTTGTAGTTGCAGAATATCTGCTTTTTCTATAAAAATGAACATCATTTTCTGTAGGGTTACGACAATAATCTGAAGTTGATGCAAAATCATCCAAATAATATTTAGAAATTGTGTTATTTTCTGATGTAATTGTATATTGAGACTGGAAATGGATATCTGTACTGTCTTCTCTATTATGAAGCCTTGATATCCTTTCTGTATGTTCTCTATCATCTAAAGAATCTTCTTCCCATTGCATTTGTCCTTCAATTACATGGTCACATAAATCAAGAGGGAAAGGACCTGGTCTGGCATACTGGGCCCTTGTTCCTCCTTGTGATTTCTTTCCAACCACATCAGTTTGAAAATTATAATCCATCTGATCAGCAATTATAGGACCTGTTCTTCTGTACCCAATGGGTTCTTCTCTAGGGTTTGTTTCCAAGTCATCAGATATAAGGAGACCATTTCTACTGAGCTTACTTTGAGGTTCTCTTGGCTCATTAGTTTGTGACCATGGGAAAGGGGGGGTTTCCTTGTACCCTTTGGTTAAGTTCATTGGATTCCTTGTTACATTGTTAAGAGGATTTTTATTATCATGGCCACTTTCCTCTGCCGTGTTCCAAATATCTGCAGGTTGCCTTTCCTTTAATAATAGCTGGATTGTGTCTCCAGTCGCACCTTGTTGTTTTTCTTCTAACCCTTGAGGTTTTCTTTTACATTTCAATACCAAACTCCTCGATTGTATATTATTACTGTCATTAAAATAGATCTCAGAATAGTTCACTAGATACAATGGTTCATCCATTTCAATTAAATTACTCTACTAAACTGTTCTCACGAAGCTTACAAAGCCAAGATTATTTCACGGATGGTGAATTTTTCCTATACTCCATTAATACTGGTCTAAAATTACTTTAGATAATTAAAATAATCCCCATTGCTACTCTGACTTATCACTTTTTCAATGTTTAATTCCCTGCAGTTCAATTTAGAAGATTGGAATTGCAGCTTGGAAAACATTGATTCTGTCTATGTATCGCAAAGGAAGACTGTTTAGCAGGTTATGTCAAAATATCAGGCTACACACTAATTTAGAACATCACGGGAAAACTAAACACATTGATGTGAAATTAAGAAATTCCAAACTGATGTTTTACTTAAAATTTTCTCCTCTAGCTACTCATAAGGAGCAACAAAAATCGAGCTCTTGAGTTAATTCATTAGGGACTTTATCATCCACAAGCTTATTGCTGTTAAGAGGGTTATCGGAAGCAGCATAGATATGAGTACATATTGATTTCAATCAAAGGTAATGATTTACACAATGACGTAGTCAACATATCCATAGGGCTAAAAATGCCCCCTTTTGCCGATCATACTTCAGACACCAAGAAATGCATAATATAAACAATTGGAGATTGTTCAATTCCCCATGTTTTGACGTATAATTTCTCAATGTTGTTTAAATAAATTCATATTCATGTCAAGTTCTATGATTTTTATTCACATCATGTGTGTTATCAAAATATTACAAGAGGATAATGGAAATAACTAAAGATTTCTGCCTGTAAAAGGATATTACATACCAAATTGCAAAAGAAACTACAAACACTATCTGTATATCTCAGGGCCATAACCATGCGAGCTAGGGAAGCAGAAACTACCCCCTCCCTAGCAAGAAATTCTTTCAAAATCATGCAGTTTTTCACCATTCTAAGCACTTTTCCCACATTTTTTTAGTAGCCAAAACTGTCAAAAAGCCCCCCTCCCCCTCCTTGGCAACCCCCCTTGGTAAAAGCTGGCTACAAGCAAAAGTGTGCAAGGTTTACATTCAGTAATATATTGGGTGTTGCCAAAAAAGTAAGACACTTTTTGACAAGTAATTTCTCAGTAATCGATGAACCAAATTTACTGAAAATTTGTATAAAGTATCTAGAGTAAGTTAAAAAAATATAAAAAAGATCAACTAGATATATTTTTAAGCACATATTTTTGTACCTTCTCGATTAAAGAGCCAACCACGAAAGGGAAAATTAATTAGACGTGGCATGTAGATAAGCTATTTTGACTGATTGACAGAAGCTATCACCTGATAGCTGGCACAAAGTACAAATACTATGAAGGTCTCATTGCAGAGCTCTGGTATGGGATTTTTTGTCATGCTAATTTAATTCTGGATCTACAAAAAAGCAAAAAACAAAAGCAACATTTTTTAATATTGTTAATGTAAAAAAAGATTGAGGGATATTATATAATTGATCTCATAAAAGAAAAAATTTACAAAATAACATTTTGACAACTGGATTATGAGATAATCCCTTTCTTATTTTTTATTTTTAGATATCCATTATGTAATATCCCCCTGGACCAGATATTTGACCTCAAATTTTCATTGTTTTTCTGATTATCCTAATCCCAAGGAGACTCACTTTTCCTTTTCAGAGGTAAAGCATAACTTATAGTACATTTCAATTTAGTTGTAAAACTTATTTGACCAAAGTTACTGTGTTCCTAGGCATAAGCACATAAAATTTGAACCGAATCCACTCACCACTATATTTGAGTTCTCAAATATTATATTTTACAAAAAATGGCGGCCATTTTGAATTTCAGCTGCCATCTTAAAAATTCTTTCTCCAACAGAGCTACTTTGTCTCTAGGCATTAGCATATAAAATTTGAACCAAATCCACTCACTTATTTTTGAGTTATCAAATATTACATCACTTAAGTTACATAAACAGTATTTCAAAAAACAGTTAAGATCTGCACTTTTAACCCATACCGTTCATGTAACTTAAGTGAGGAATTAAATCTACTATTCTGTTGTCTTCTGAGCTATTTTTCTCAAACATGTACAATATCTAAATAAAACATATGAAACTGATACACGTTTGTGAGAAAAAATGTCATGAGGATTCTCCCTACAACGCTTGAAATAAGGAAAAAAGAAAACTTGTACCTTCGACGTTCTGACATTTTGTTACAGAAACGAACCATTTCAACCTTAATTTTCATACCAATCCATTTTACTTCATGCCTGTTCAATGTTCACACCAGAAATATTCTCTTGGGGAAATAAGCACAATTATAACTATAGTGGATTAATTATTATTAAAAATAGAATCATTTTTTACCATACTTTTACTTGTCAATTTATCTTTGCTCACCCAAGGCCTTGCTTCACTATGCAGTGCATGTATTTATCGACAAAAAAGCTTGCTAGATAACTAAGCAGAAACCAGATAGCCCTAAAACTAGTATCTGCACTAAATAACAACTAACAGCCAAGGCCCAATTGCCTTCTAGCAAAATACATTATACAGCATCTGGAGATACCAGCTATCTTGAATAGCAGTTCAATCTGTAATTTCAATTGATCCTTTTATAAAAAGAGGTTCTCCAAGATGCCTATTTGATTCCCATGTGGCAATTTTGGGCTTTGGGTATACTGTATAAGTGGTATTTAATCCGAACGGTCAAATTTTATCATTTTCCGAATTTTAATTTTCCTAATGACAAGAAACTTCCCATTGGATAACATTATGAAGATAATATTTCCGACATTTAATTTTCGAACCTGGCAAAAATTAGGCAATAGGCAAATTAAATGATTAGGTAAAATTATCACTTATACAGTATACCCCATGCAGACAGATCGCCTAAAATTACATTTGTATGATGCAAGACTCAACATTTACCAGGAAACTTGTCAAATGTCAAATTAAGTTTTATAAGTATGGGAATAGCATGATATTAACTCGTTTGAAAAGTGATAGCAGTGATTGAAATTACGATGTAAAGATAAAACCGCAATGAAATGTTTGTAGATTTCTTTGAAAAACCAAGAAATACATATCACATATAGAATTTTCTGAAACAGAAAAAAACATGTATAAATAGTAAGGCCTGCAGGTCCGATTCCCCCTGGTAGCAGTAACATTGGTCTTGTGTATGTCATACAATTAATATTTGAAACGCAACTATTAATCGAACTTATGATCGGACATCAGTAGTATATTACTTTATTATCTTGAAGTACACATCACACTTATGTGATCCGCCCCTGATATGTGTGTGCAAATGCCATATGGACAGACAGACACCTGAGTGTTCTAAACCACATATCTGGAGGAAAACCTGATGTGTACTTTACATAACAGCCTTGTCAGATAAATGGACATATCAGCAGAAATAATATGGCAAATTTAGGGAGTTATGCACATTTCTACATTTGGTGCATATACCTCCTCTAATTGATAAGCCTTCCATTCAATGAGTCCACAATACCTAACTCCAATTCTAATTTCATCCTACTTATCTGTTTTAAAACTAATAATATGCTTGGATTTAGTAAGCCAAATTCAGCATTCCTTGATCTGATATCATCTGATGGGAGAGATACAGCCTTCTAAGGATGATATATTAATTTCCCTATATGTTCATATGTCACACTATGTGTTTCATATTCTATCATCACTGTCAAGCACTGCCTCAAATGGTATCATCTCAACTTGTTTAATGACACCTAATTACTCAGGTGTCAGTAGGTAGTTACCAGTTTCACCACCAGGTGGCTAATTCGGGGGAAATTACATGGCAGGGTATTACAAAATTCCCTTAAACTTAAATATTCATCAGTTTTAGTAATTCACTTTTCATATTACTCTTATATCTGATAGTTATACAAATTAAACAGAAGAAAATATATTTCATTGAGTCTATGGGGAATCCCCCCGACCTAGAAGTCACATTTTCAAAGTTGATAAACTCATTTCAAAACACATTCCTTGATGTAATTTTACACATAGATTCCAAATATGACATCAGTTTGACTGAATTTTGAAGCTTCAATGATGTAAATCAAGACTATTTCTATATGCATCTAATCCATTCGGCTGAGATGAAAGATCTCCACTATGATTAAAACAATGTGATTGGCAAATACCCATGGTCCTAATGTGTGATTGAACATTCTGGCAAGTGATCTGTGTGCCAAATCAAAGGTTTTGGTTGAAGGTAATAATTCCTCAAGATGATCTGCCCCTGATATGCCTCCAAAACTACTGAAATGAAAAACTATAAATAGAATGATATACTCACACTGCAACGTTTGTGTAATCTTGCTTAATTTCTTGACTTATCCTCCTTCAAAACTGAAGTTTGTTTATCCTTTCGAATCACTCTTTGAGCTGTGTCTGAAAATAGAAACAATAAGAAAAATGAGCTGAAAGAAGGAGTAGGGTATTTTGAGTGAACATAACAGCAATCTCTCAGAGGTCTTAAAATCAGATCTGCATGAATCTGACCGGGGTCAACCCAGTTGTCCGAAACCCAGTTCTCCGAAACCCAGTTTTCCGAAACCCAGTTGTCCGAAACCCAGTTCTCCGAAAATTAGGGGATCTTATTTGAAAAATACAATTTTTTTAAGCGAATCTCGTTGGCGCAACCTCTGCGAATCACAACATAACATTGGGATAACGTTGACATCATTGCAAAATTAGGCTAAATATGCTAAGTCACGACGTTAATTGTTTAATGTTTAGCCTACGAAAGTTCATATACAGGTGATATAGATGTTCAAACAAACAAAGTTAAATTATGTTATTCTCATTGTAAAATGGCGTTTACACAACATATATAGATAGGGGTCTACAATTTTTAAACCAATTTTCTTTATGGCCCATGGGCCTTTTTTGAGAGGGAACAACAATTTTCCAATGGGTGATGAGCGTTCATAAAAGGAAAAATAGCTTTCCCAAGCCAGTGGGCATTTATTTAGTAAAGTTGACATGTACATCTTTTGAAACCAAAACTTATTCTTCATTTACGTACTCTGTTCGAGAAATAGAGATTAAATTAAAAGGATGAAGTGAGTACATGGCGAAAATGAAACTTCTTGCGAATGGGAGAACATCCATTTTGATACGAGGACAGCCTGCCTTCGTTTCCAGTTGATCCCAAGTGATTAAGTTAAGAATGTTTTGTTCTTTTACGATTTGATAAAATACAGAGACTAAGAAATTAAATACGACGAAATATTTTGACAACGTAATATGTATACTGTTTTATTCTTAAAGTACTAGTCTATATGCGTAAACTTATTTTATCTGTTTAAAATTGATTCATTTTATTTTGCCTATATAAGAGAAATTGAAGAAGATAAGATAAACTGTTCCGTAATATATATTGTGTTTTGATAACCTTTTTTTAGAATCACAATGTAAAATAAATCCCCCGTTCCTGCCATTCTGGTAACGCGTGCGATGAATGCAATTCAAAGTGAGAGAGAGAGAGATCTATGAACATCAGAATGCGTCCATGCCATTAATTTGGCCAAATACATGGCATGAAACTGGCCTAAGCTTAGTACGTCTCCCCTTTCTCTGGTAAATTATGACTATATTTTTCGGAGTAATGGGTTTCGGACAAGTGGGTTTCGGACAACTGGGTTTCGGACAACTGGGTTTCGGAGAACTGTGTTTCGGACAACTGGGGTGCACCCAATCTGACCACATGTTAAAGTAATTCCTTAATTTGAATCAGTTTTTGTGGTAATAATTTGCATAAATCTACTAATATAGTACTAAATAAGTCCATTTGAAAAGAATATTGTTAACCATACAGCATATGCAACACCTTTTGTTTCATCTAGAAGTAGACTAAAAACCATTACTAAGCGATGTACATGTATAAAGAGCAAAAACTCCACTTGCTCTAGATAAATGTGCATTAATTAAACACATAATTATGCTGATTAAGCATATCATTTTTGTATTCCATACCAGCAGAGACTCTAGGTATGTGGAATATACATGTACAGTGTATCTAAGGAGTGGGATCTCAAGAAAATACTGGCTGTATCCATCTTGGTCCTGGTTAAACACAATTTGGCTTAATTTTTTCTGAATTTTCTTGGAGCTGGAAATAAGAATCCATACAGTGTGTAAACATTCATTCTTATGTTTGGAGAAGTTTTAGCTAAATAGCTGAAGTGAAAGTGGAAAAAGTGGAAAAAAACAATTTTTTAGCTAGGATTTTAACATGTTGTACAATATCAATCATCATTTTAACTCGGCGGAATTTAAGCAGCCAAATTTTGGCCCAGATCAAAGCGAGCACCCAGCCATAAAACCCAAATTAAAATATGTTTTACACAGTAGATTTCAAATCAGTAAAAATTTGCGGGATTTCACCTAATTTTGTGGGACATTCAACTAAATTCAAAGGATTTTGCGGGATATTCAAGGGATTTGCATGATCCCACAAATAGGGCAAATTTTGATCAAATATTCGGGACAGTTGACATATCTTTTAATATTCTATAAATTAATGTCCGAGATGACTTTTTTGCAAGTAAGAATTTTTGCCTTTTTTGCAACTTTATACGCTGGTGTACGGGTAAATTATTGGAATTAGAGAGAATCAGATCTAGCGAGCAGCCTAACAAAAAATTATGTCAATTTTAGAATATTTCTGGCTTTAAATGTCTTTCCTTTTCATGTCTATTTTCTAAAAATTCCCAAAATACACGCTTTATTTCAGGAAAACTAAAATTCTTTAAATAAACCGATATAAAAAACCCTTCGCCCTACGACCTATTGAGTTCTAAGTTTAGATTCATAAATTTCCAGAAGAGGGAAAAACACTTATTGCATTCAACTACATGTAAATAATTTCTATCAAAAGTTGTAAAAACAATATAATATGATCCTAGAGAAGTGTTATGACAGTATATCAATTGGGCCTAACTATACGTTTGTTGAAGAAACTAAAACTGAACCGATCATAGAAAAGCAATTTGAATCATGGGAATGCAATACCTCCATTCATGTGCACGCGCAAAAATTCAAACACAAAAATGGAACCTCCCTCAGAATGCTACTAGTGCTCCACAACATTGGCAAAACAGCTGTATTCTTTTTGGGCACCGAAGGTTAAAGGTCGAAGGTGCAGGTTGATGTGTTTTTAGAGCATTCCCCAATATATTGCTCTAAATGATACAAGCTTTGAAAATTTGATATCATTCCTCGAAAAATATACACCTAGGTCTCCCTATAGATGTGCCTATCTAGCCTACTTTAAAACTAAATTCATACAAACATGGTCCAAATAATGAACATACTTACCTGCTTTATCAGAGAAAAAAATCCTGGAGTCTAATTTGATATCCTTCTCATATTATTTGTGATAAAACTCTTGAGAAAATACATAAAAACTGAATGGGAACAATTTATATGAAGTCACAATTGTTTTTGAAATTCTTATTGTGATTAAATCAGCTGATAATCTTTAGTATTTTGAAAAATATATACTCTGATTCAAAATTGCAGATTTCAATTTCAAAGTGTGAGCAGAAGTGTGCAGTTTCAAAGGTCAGTTTAAAGGAACATTCCTGACGGGGGCTACATGCTTTTTAATATATTTAGTTTAGTAAACCTTTATTACAATTATAAAAGATTTGGAGGTTGACATCTTCTTGTTTTGTTATATTATTAACTCAAAGATCAACTCCACATGAATATCGCCCATGCCAGGTTGTCTGCCATTGACTCTTGCGCCCCTTCCTGCGAGAGTGTAATTGAGAGATATGAGCCCCCTCTAAATATTGGGTGCGGAGGAGCTCCATAAACGTACCTCCGCACCCAATATTTAGAGGGGGCTCATATCTGAAGAACATTTCCGAATTTTTATAAAATCACACAGATACTGCCTGGCTTCCAAGATGCAAAAATAATTTGCATGGGTAGTGTATCTTGAACACCATTTTTTATGAATGCTGGGGACGCAGTATTAAAAGGATAGTCTCAAAATATATAGGTCTGGGAAATGTTTAAGGCATACTGCGTCGCTATAAAATGAATTGCACTACTATTTTCACAATTTTATTGATATTTGGTGTCAAGTACACATATCTTGGTATATTTGAAGTCCCAAAACGGCTTAGTTTCAGAAATATCCCAAATTTAAATTCAAAAATGACCGTTAGCTCCGCACCCTCCGCTCATTTGCGCCGCACCCAATATTTCCCACAGGCTCTGTCTGCATAGGGTGATACCCATCCATGTTATTTTCTGGTACAAAATAAAGTATGAAGGCATGTGTATATTTCAGGAAAGTATCATTACATTGTCTTCTTTTAGTAAACTTATCAAGTGGTCAATGGCAATCCAGTGTTATTGAGAAAATTGGAGAAGAAATTTGGAAAATTGGAAAGGTGACTATTTTGAATGATTTTTCTTGAAATATCCATGGGCTTTCAAGAGAAGGGTATGCTACTCTGTGTTATAAACATGGGAACTTCAAATGAGCAGTGCCATGCTTCCTTTTTATGATAATATTTCAAAAAGTAATAGATAACAGACCCATAGTCAGGGGGGGGGCTCGGGGGCTCGTGCGAGCCCCCCCCCCAGATATCTCCTAAAATAATGTGGACCTACCTTTTTTGCTTTCTTGAAGAATTTTCTGACATTTCGAGGTAGTAGGTAACATTTGGGACATATGTACGATGTATTTTGATGTGATTGCCACTTTCTTTTTATTATAAAATTCTAAATTGACTAGAATATCGAGGCAACTAAATGATTCGGATATTAATCATATATTTTGATCCTTTAATGACTTTAATCGCTCAGAAGTGCCAAAAAAGCCTAAATATTCAATTTTTATTTAAATACACGAATCATATTTTGATCCTCGATTTGCCCAGAACGCACTTAATTAGCCCAAAAATCTTAACTATTTCAGAGGAGCATGCCCCTCATTTTTAATAAATCATATATTTTGATCCTAGAATCGCTCAGAACGTGTCAAATAAGCCTAAAATTCGATTTTTTTAAATACGTAAATCATATATTTTGATCCATAGAACGATCAGAGCTAAAATCACAGGCTGGTATCGAAATATTTGTCCGCTGTGACGGAGCATGCTATTTTTCATAAAAACACTAAGAATACTTCACGATTTATTTTTTAACTCATATGTTTCGTTATACCATACAAAATTACTTACTCCATGCAATGGATATATCATTTGCGGGTAACTTTCACTTCTGTTTGAAGTCCAATTACGCGGGGAAGAAAAGCTATTGAAAATGGCGCCAGAGTATCATACTTCAAAATGTATCATTTCTTGTTTAACTTTCTAATGGCACGATATAGTGACACGATAATATTTACACATGGTTTCAGCATAACT